CAAACAAAGGCAAGTCTGGTTGTGGCACCGTCGATTGGGGCATCCATCCTTTGGATATATGAAGCATATTCTACCAAACTTATTATCAAATTTCAAGGACTCCGACTTCAAATGTGACACTTGCATTTTGGCTAAAAGTCACCATGTGCCCTACCCGTTGAGTTCAAGTAAGAGTACTACTCCGTTTAAGTTAATTCACTCTGATGTTTGGGGGCCCTCACCTATAACTTCTCATTCTGGCTTTCGGTGGTTTGTGACGTTTGTGGATGATTGTACTCGAATGACATGGTTGTACTTGATGAAGAATAAAAATGAAGTGTTTACTATGTTTCAGTCTTTCCACAGACAGATTGAAACTCAGTTCTCTACCAAGATCAGAGTTCTTTGCTCCAACAATGGGGGCGAATATGTCAACCATGACTTTCAAACATACTTCCAGATGCACGGCATGATTCATGAGACGACTTGTCCTCAAACACCACAACAGAATGGTGTTGCGGAACGGAAAAACCGACATCTCCTTGAAACAGCTCGAACACTACTGATTGGGGCTCATATTCCCCGCAACCACTGGGATGATGTCATCATCACTACAGTTTATCTTCTCAATCGTATGCCTTTGCTGGTCTTGGGCTTCCGAACTCCGCTCCAAACGCTTGCCAATTATGGGCCACTGCCATCTGTTTCAATGCTTCCACCACGAATCTTTGGTTGTGTGGCGTTTGTTCATCTCCATAAAAATCAACGTAACAAACTTGATCCATGTGCTCTCCGATGTGTTTTTATGGGATATGCTACTCATCAGAAGGGATATCGGTGTTATCATCCCCCTACTCGTCGTACCTATGTCACCTTGGATGTCACTTTTATGGAGTCTAAAATGTTCTTCCATGATCCGATGTCCAACTCTCCACCCCAAAGAGACATACAAATAGAACCAATGAGCAAGGAGGCTCTAGAAATTCAAGAACTTGAAGATTGGAGCAAAACGAGCCCAAAAAGTCCAAGAGAAAATGTAATCTGCCCACCCGTGACCGGTCGCCAGGAGCCCAGCGACCGGTCACACCGAAGTACTAAAGCTGAAATTCGAACATGTCCAAATGCGACCGGTCGCGAGGAGCCCAGCGACCGGTCGCACCACAATGCTGAAGCTGAAATTCGAAGCTGTCCAAGTGCGACCGGTCACGAGGAGCCCAGCGACCGGTTACACCACAATGTTGAAGCTGAAATTCGAACCTGTCCAAATGCCACCGGTCGCGAGGAGACTAGCGACCGGTCGCTCCACAACAAGAAAATTGGCCTATTTTCATACTTCATCGACGATGATAATGAAGACCCCCCTCACATTTTAGTACCCACTGATCAATCTCCTGAGAATAGTGATTCTACTACATCTACTGCTTTAGTTGATGAACCTATTAGATATCAATTACCTGATAGACAGAACCGTGGAAAACCGCCAATTCAGTATTCACCGGATAATGGCAAGGCATCAAAGTATCCAATTGCAAACTATGTTTATGCTGAAAAATTATCTGCAACCCTCCAAGGCTTTGTACACCAGTTATTCGCAATTCATATTCCAACCAAAGTGAGTGAGGCATTGAAGGATCCAAAATGGGTTCAAGCAATGAAGGAAGAGATGCATGCTCTGGAGAAAAATCACACATGGACACTGGAGAATTTACCTCAAGGAAAGAGGACTGTCGGATGCAGATGGGTCTACACTTTGAAATACAATGTTGATGGGTCAATTGAACGTTACAAAGCACGACTTGTGGCCAAGGGATACACGCAAACATATGGTATTGACTATGAAGAAACCTTTGCCCCTATTGCAAAACTTAACACCGTTCGAGTGCTATTGTCCATTACAGCAAATCTTGATTGGCCTCTCCACCAATTTGATGTGAAGGATGCCTTTCTCCATGGAGAACTCACAGAAGAAGTCTACATGGATATCCCACCAGGATATGTTACATCTACTCATGCTAATGTAGTGTCAGATTACGAAAGGCATTATATGGATTGAAGCAGTCTCCCCGGGCATGGTTTGGGCGTTTTGCCTTGGCAATGAAGAATTATGGGTTTAAGCAGAGTAATTCTAACCATACTCTGTTCTTAAAACACAAAGGAGGAAAGGTAACGGCTCTAATCATTTATGTCGATGATATGATTATTACTAGGAATGATACGCATGAACTACAAAAATGTTTGGCAAAGGAGTTTGAAATGAAGAATCTTGGTGGACTCAAGTACTTCTTGGGCATTGAAGTTGCTCGATCAAAGCAAGGCATATTTATCTCACAAAGGAAGTATGTTCTAGATTTATTGGCAAAAACAAGAATGTTAGATTGCAAACCTGTGGACACTCCAATCGTTCAGAATCACTACCTTGGGGTATATCCCAATCAAGTACCCACTAACAAAGAAAGATATCAAAGATTAGTGGGACGATTGATCTACTTATCCCATACCCGACCCGACATCGCGTATGCTATAAGTGTTGCTAGTCAGTTTATGCATTGTCCAAGTGAAGATCATATGGATGCGGTTTTTCGGATTCTTAAATATTTGAAGCCAGCACCGGGAAAAGGACTTATGTTCTCTAAAAATGGTCATCTGAATATCAGTGGCTATACAGATGCAGATTGGGCAGGGAATGTCACTGATAGACGATCAACATCAGGGTACTTCACATTTGTGGGAGGTAACTTAGTTACTTGGAGAAGCAAGAAACAGAATGTTGTTGCTTTGTCTAGTGCAGAAGCCGAATTCAGAGGCATGACCAAAGGAATTTGCGAACTCCTTTGGTTGAAGAAATTGCTTACAGAGATTGGATATGCACCTACATTAGGAATGCATCTACAGTGTGATAACAAGGCTGCAATATCCATTGCACACAATCCAGTTCAACATGATCGCACTAAACATGTTGAAGTGGATCGACACTTCATTAAACAGAAACTTGAAAACAAAGAAATTCAACTTCCGTTTGTCAAGTCCGAAGACCAACTGGCAGATATATTGACAAAAGCAGTTTCTAGCAGAGTATTCCACAACTCACTAGTCAAGTTGGGCATTGGTGATATCTATGCACCAACTTGAGGGGGCGTGTTAGCATATGTAGTTGTCATCTTATGGAACACAAGACAAAACACAAGACAAGGAGGTCAATTGAACCACATAAAAAGCGACCATTAAGATACAATGCGTTTGGCTAAGCACAACACAAAACTACATTTCCAATATTAATTACATACTGTTTTCTTTCTTGATTTCTAAATTACACAAGAGTGAGAAGTTCGGAGAATATATAAGAAGCTCGTCAATTAGGTTCTTGTAATATTGGATTCCTTCTTTGTTCACACCTCCACTTAGCTTTCCATCTGATAAGATGATCCAAATTAACATTATTTGGAAAGAAATTTTGGATACATTAAGATTACAATATTGTACCACAATAACACAGGTAAGTAATCACAATACGTTAGTTCGATAAAAAAACATTTGTCTCCCCAAAATGTGATTCCAATAACTTGGTTGTATGTAGAAGTTTTTTCTTTTGGACTGGATATGTAAAAAATTCATGTATACTGGTCGTCTTACTTGGTAATAATCTAGACCATGAGATTGAGAATCTGTAAGCATCAAAAGCCCATTTCCCTTTTGTTTGAAGGTTATATAATCTGGATTGGTTTTGATTTATGGTGCCATGGTTAAGTGTGTGTGTGTGTGTATTTGTATGAAGGTGGTAGAGGACCAAGTATATGGGATACTTTTACTCACAAATAGCCAGGTATTTTCTTTGTATTGATTTTATGTTTACTTCTATATATATTTCGGCAGCTTTTGCTTTGGCTTCAAATGAGTTCATAAAATATTCCCCCTATGTCTTCCAAAATATCTCATATGCTTAAGTCGAAAAAATTAGGTAATATAGCGGACGACAGCACTGGAGATGTAGCTTTTGATCAATATCATCACTACAAGGTACAAAGAACACACAATATTGTTGCAGGAAGATGTTCAGATTATGAAGGAAATGGGCTTTTGATGCTTACAGATTCTCAATCTCATGGTCTAGATTATTACCAAGTAAGACGACCAGTATACATGAATTTTTTACATATCCAGTCCAAAAGAAAAAACTTCTACATACAACCAAGTTATTGGAATCACATTTTAGTGAGACAAACGTTTTTTTATCGAACTAACGTATTGTGATTACTTACCTGTGTTATTGTGGTACAATATTGTAATCTTAATGTATCCAAAATTTCTTTCCAAATAATGTTAATTTGGATCATCTTATCAGATGGAAAGCTAAGTGGAGGTGTGAACAAAGGAGTCCAATATTACAAGAACCTATAATTGACGAGCTTCTTATATATTCTCCGAACTTCTCACTCTTCTGTAATTTAGAAATCAAGAAAGAAAACAGTACGTAATTAATATTGGAAATGTAGTTTTGTGTTGTGCTTAGCCAAACGCATTGTATCTTAATGGTCGCTTTTTATGTGGTTCAATTGACACATGATCACAACCTAAACAAATTTAGCTCATTGACCGCTTCTTATTGCCCCTTTTTTTCGTGCAGCTTAAATGGACATGGAAATTAAGGTTTATAAGATTCACAGATGCCACAGGTTTCAAATTACTTTTTTTAAATTATATCATGCTTTGTCCATGATACAAGTAACAAATGCCAAGTACATATTATGAAAAAGCCTAGCTAGAAGACGAAACTAAGTACAGATTAATTATGGAACTCCAAAGCACCTTCCTCTTAGGCCTCCTACTTGTTCTTGGTTGTGCAGTTACAAGTAGTGGAGCTCCTAATTCAAAGCATTCTGTTGCTACATGTAGCGCTGCTTTGCTAAACCGGAGCAGTTTCCCGGAAGGTTTCTTATTCGGGGCAGCTGGATCGGCATACCAGGTACCTCTCTCTTTGATGATCTCATTACATAATTTAGGCTTTTCTTTGAGGGTTCTAGTCAGATGTGCTCGAGCATGGTTTGGATGGTTATGTGTCTGCTGTGTGTGTATGGATTTTAGTATGAAGGTGCTGCAAATGAAGGTGGTAGAGGACCAAGTATATGGGATACATTCACTCACAAATATCCAGGTTTCTTTCTCTTATTTAGACTCTTTCTTTTTTTTATGAAACTTAATTTGATTGTTAGACACATGTTTTAATGGAAATAAAATAAAATACTCAGAGAGGATGAAGGACCGCAGCAATGGAGATGTGGCTATTGATCAATATCATCGCTACACGGTACAAATCCCACATTATAAGAAATGAAGTATATATAAGGACAGCAAGTTCTTTCCGATATTCATGATTTCTTCAAATTATGCTCTTTGGTTATGTATTTGCTATAGGAAGATGTTGGGATTTTGAAGGATACGGGTTTTGATGCATACAGATTTTCAATCTCATGGTCTAGACTGTTACCAAGTAAGAGGATAAGTATAATTACATCAATCTCTTAATTATTCAGTCCATGAAACATTATAAACTAAAAATTACCCATCAATCTCTTAATAGAATCACATTTTGTTGGTGGGGCGTTTAAGCCTTTTGATTGAACTAATTTTGTGCTTTTGGTTTCGCAAAATAAAAAAATAAAAAAACTAATTTTGTGTAATTAATGTTTTAATCTTATTATAGCACATTATTGTTGTCTTATTTCATTAAACATTTAATATTTTTCTAAATTGAATTTGGGTCATGTTGATCAGATGGAAAGCTTAGTGGCGGTGTGAACAAGGAAGGAATCAAATATTACAAGAATCTCCTCAACAAGCTTGTAGCCAGTGGTTATGCATGACTCCTATGACTAATTATAGATGAAAAAATAAATAAATATGTATTAATATTAATTGTTTTAATGCAGGTATAAAGCCGGCTGTCACTCTCTTTCATTGGGATGTTCCCCAAGCTTTGGAGGATGAATATGGTGGCTTCTTAAGCCTTAAAGTTGTGTAAGTCAAAATGAAACAATCCTTTGATTAGCATAAAAAATTTATTGGGAATATGACTATTTTGCAATTTCCGGCCAATAACATAATGAAATGTAGAAAAGTTATTCGATGTTTCATTACGTTATTGGTCAAGAATAGCTAAAAGTGATATCCTCATTGCTCGAGAGTTTCTCTCTTTGATTAGGGGGTACCGTAGAATTAGCCAATTTCTACGGGTTTTCTTTTTTGTAAACAAAAATAGACTCAGATAAAAGGAAAAATAAGGCCCAATAAGCTAGAGTTGATTAAAACGGGTCCAGTATGTAGTAGAAAAGCCCACGGACTCAATTAGCACTTACCGGGCCAGACAAAACACAACATTAAACTACAATGTCCAACTAAAAATGCAACCGAGAAGGAAATGAAATGCAACGAAATAGCATTCCAATCAAACATGCAGTATACATGAATCATGGAGTGAGTGTGGTAAAATTCTTTCGTATAAGATAAGTGGGGAGTGTTTAAGCACTAATCAATTAGTAAGTTAATATGGCCATAACCGGTTAGAAAGTGAACCACTCTACAATTTCATCATATGCTCAAGACTATGTAATATGCAGGAATCATTTTCGAGATTATGCAGAGCTTTGTTTTAAAGAATTTGGTGACAAAGTTAAGTATTGGATCACATTTAATGAACCATGGACCTTCTCCAAGAATGCTTATGCAAGGGGCCTACTTGCACCCGCACGATGTTCTAATTGGCAAAACCTAAATTGCACAGGTGGGGATTCAGCAACTGAGCCATATTTAGTGACGCACCATCAACTCCTAGCTCATGCAAAAGTTGTAAAGTTGTACAAAGACAAGTATCAGGTCCTCTTTGAAAAATACCAAGTCATTCCTGCAAATTCTATAATTTTAATATTCTTTTCAAAATTTGCGTTTTAATTTGTACACTACTCAAATTATTGAATTTTTTTAATATATTTAATGCGCAGGCGTCACAAAAAGGATTGATAGGAATAACATTAGTGTCACTTTGGTTTGAGCCATTATCTAACACAAAACAGGACAAAGATGCTGCATCACGAGCTGTGGATTTCATGCTGGGATGGTATGTATTTGCTGATATATAATTCTCTAGACTTCTATTCAATTGTTTTCTCAATACAAATACTAAACTCCAAATAGGATACGCTTAACTTTCAACTCCAGAATAACATCATTTTGGACATAAAAAGCACAACAAATATCAGCACTCTCTCTCTCTCTCTCTCTCTCTCTCTCTCTCTCTGTGGGAAGTACAAGATTGCAATTCGAGGTTAACAAATACAAGAATTTTCTTTTATGGATGATTTTCTTCGTTTTAGGTAATTTGAGAAATTTTATGCAACTATCAAGTACCTAATTTAATTACATTTTTTTTTTCTTCATAGTTTTCTTCTTCTTATGGTTTTGATTTTTCTATGTTATGCTATAGAAAAATATTTTTGGTAGTAATTAGTGATTTGTTTATATATCAACGTACAACGCATGTTTGAATCCCAATGTAACCAAAAAAAATGTACAATGTCAACTTATCGAAGATTAGAGAAAAATCTGACTTTTTTTGTTGTTGAAAAATCCTATTAGATATTTAACATCATACATGACTATCCGTGTCAATTCATAATTTCCAGCCTAAGTAAGAAGTTAATTATTAATGTAGGTTTATGGATCCCCTGGCAAAGGGGGAATATCCTAAGATCATGCAATCACTGGCTGGAAATCGATTACCCAAGTTCACTAAAGTGCAATCCAAAAGTGTAAAGGGTTCATTTGACTTCATTGGATTAAATTACTATACAACCTACTATGCAGCCGATGCACCTCCTCTTCCTAATGCTACAACATACCCAAGCTATTTGACAGATTCTCGCACTCAATTTTTAAGTGAGTAGAATAAAAAATTATGACTTTCTTTTGTTGCTTTTGTATATACACACACATGCACACCTAGACTAACAAAGTCTTGAAATGTATGTTGTGACAGCTGAGCGTAATGGTACCTCGATTGGTCCAAAGGTACGTACATAACATGTTAATATAATTTGCATCATTGTGTTAATGGAATTTGACCTCATGATATTGCTGTTGAGAGTATTTGTCCCACATTGAAATGTTAAGGGACCTAGCCTGGGTTTATAAGGAGTTGGGCTACTCCCTTACACACACATGCACACCTAGACTAACAAAGTCTTGAAATGTATGTTGTGACAGCTGAGCGTAATGGTACCTCGATTGGTCCAAAGGTACGTACATAACATGTTAATATAATTTGCATCATTGTGTTAATGGAATTTGACCTCATGATATTGCTGTTGAGAGTATTTGTCCCACATTGAAATGTTAAGGGACCTAGCCTGGGTTTATAAGGAGTTGGGCTACTCCCTCCATTGCCAATTGGTTTTGGGGTGGAACCTCAACTTCCTTCAATTGCATCAATGTTCTTAAAACACTAATGACGATCTCTACATGATTAAGTTCTATGATTTAAGCAGGCTGGTTCAAGTTGGCTTTATGTTTATCCAAAAGGACTTCAAGAACTATTGCTTCACGTAAACAGGAACTATCATAATCCACTGATTTACATAACCGAAAATGGTAAATTATAGTTTTTGCACAAACTCGAGTAAATAGCTATTATATTAGGATTTGAAACTGAATAAATATTACCTACTATATTGTAGGAGTTAGTGAATTCGCTAATCCCAAATTGTCTCGTGAGGAAGCCCTTGTCGATTATCACAGAATTGACTATTATGATAGTCATCTTTATTATCTTCATGCCGCGATCAAGTAAGTGTTTAACAAAACATCAAAATTTCATTCTTACTCTTTCAACAATAATTTAATTGGCCTAATTGTGTAAATATGGGCAGGGACGGCGTTAATGTGAAAGGATACTTTGCATGGTCTTTGCTTGACAATTTTGAATGGAATGACGGTTACACGGTTAGGTTTGGCATCTACTATGTGGATTACAAAGATGGACTGAAAAGATATCCTAAGCTTTCAGCCAACTGGTTCAAGAATTTTCTTCAAAAGAAAAAATGTACGCTTGGGGGTTCTAAACCCAAAGTCTCAATCCATTAACCACACCCCCAATAAACCGTACTAAACAAATTTATTCTATATTTGTATGTTTTTCCAATAAAAGTTAAGGTAGTTTGTGTATAATTGAAAGTTTAAATGTAGAGATTCATATTAGTATTATGTTTTTATACAAACGATTTTGGGGAGACTGTGAAGAATTAACTGTTCTTAACCACTTAAACTACAAATTCATTGCCAGATATTACTCTTTGAATCTTCATTAAATTGAGCCATATATCCACATCACTCCTTGAATCTTCCATTGATAATACTGAAGTCGCCTAATATATGTAATCTTGGATGTTATCGTGGATTTGCCCACTCAGTGACACAATGCGACTATCCCAACCGCATGCGGTTCTTGTTTGAATGAAATCGATTACTCACTCAAAACAAAAACAGAAACAATAAAAAAGATGCTTAAAGGTTCAATTGATTTTATTGAATTAGATTAATATATAGAACATATTTTGCACTTCATCTTAATGCTAGACACAAAAGCTACCCGACAGATTCTCAGGCTAATGTACCGTACGCACACATATACTAACAAGCCCTTGAACTTGTATGTTCTCGCTGCCAAGCCTAGTGGTATCTGTTGGCGAGTCCTTACTTAGTTAGGATTTTGGTTCCTTACTATGTTAGGATTTTAGTTACTTACCTATTTGTCTAGTCCAATTATAATTAAGATTTATTTCCTATTGTAATTTAGATTTACTTTCTATTGTAATTTAGATTTATTTCCTATTTTATTTAGGGTTAACACATCTTTGTATTTGTATAAATACCTCCATATTGGAGAAGAATGAGCATATATGAGCATATATGAGCGTATCTTAGCATAACTAAATATTTACCCTACTTTGTTTGACATGGTATAAGAGCCTAGGTTTTCTTGTGACTTGTGTTTGCGTTCTCCTTACAATTTAAGTGCTCTCCTCCCCTCCTCTTTAAAGGGGGGGAGGGGGAGTGAAAACGATATGTTTATTGATGTATCCCCATTAGCTTGACATATTCCCATGAAGATGTTGCTTATTTCTT